ACCGACAGTGACATCCAGTGGCAGCCCACACGGATCAAAACCACCCGGGTTTCCCCTCCGCGAGGTGGGGCTGAACGCTGAGGTCTGCTTGGGCACGCTCGAGCCTGAGCTCAAAATATGCAGCACAATGGCTCCATCAGCTAGTGACCCCAAAACGTCTGAAAAATGGTAATTTGTCCCTTTACCAAGTATGCTGGGAAGGATTCTGGGTTTAAACTGCAGCCTGTGGATTTGGGGTGTCTGCGTAGCTGGGGCAAGACGCAGATCCCGCCGCGAGCCCCGCGCGGGCGAGCGCGAGCGGAGGCAGATGCTCCCCCTAGCCCGGGCGGCCCCGGCTGAACCGTGGGTGCAAACCACGCGGGATGAGCGCCTGGGAAGACGCTGTTGTAATTTCTCATCTCGTTGTCATTGCTGCTCAATAGGACTGGGGTTAAGCAAGAGTTATTTCCCAAGCGTGAGTCAGGGTATGGTATTTGCTCACGTGAACACCTTTAAAAGTGTTATTTGTTCTTTTCCTTAAGCGATTATACTGTCATCCAGAAAACCCAGATTCGGCTCCAGTATCTGAAGAAAAGCTGAGGAAGCTTTACGACACATGGGGACTCTGCGGGAGCGCGAACGATGCGCAAGGACACCCGGCGCAAGGCGACAGTCGTCCCAAACACCCCCACAAAGCGGCACCCAGCAGCAGGAACGACGCGTGAGAGGTAGCATGGCTGGTGGATGCTGGTACGGCCAGCATCAAACCAGCACCGGCCTGGGGAACTACCTCCCCGCTCGGCCGAGCGTAGCCACTGCTGCTTGGTATCTTTGCAAAATAACCAAGAGGTGAAGATGGACAGCAGCAGAGCGAGAGAAGCCAGGCAGGTTGGACTGCCATCTCAGAGAGCAGACGTAGAAATAGGGAAACCGCCGTAAGAAGGGCTACGATATCAGAAGGTGGTAGGGAGGATGGGCAAGGCAAGCCTCAGCTGGCCCACTGTCAGCTGACATTACTTAGCATATTTTTACATACCAGTCTGGATGCTCAAAGCATAGTTGTGGTTTGTGGGCCCACCCCAGCGTAAGCCGCACATGCTGATGCTCTGCGGCAAAAATGCAGACCAACCTGTAGCGGGCGGATTAGCTGAGAAGAGTCACTGGCGACCTGTTTACTCTGGCATACGCACACCCTGCAGGAGGAATGGAAAAGGGACGCTAGGAGTGACGGCAGAAGAGCCCAGCTCTGCGGCAAGCAGGTGCCCCAGCCTGGCTGTGACAGGGCTTGTCCCACATATGCCTATTTTCAAGCTGCTAAAATGCAATCACGTGTCCTGTGGGAGTTCACATGCGCTCACAAACCATCTTGCTTTCCATCTTTTTTCTCCTCAGGTTCTCTGTTTTACCTAAAAAGGGTGCAATTTGATATGTTACAGCACTTAAAATTCAAACTGATAATTTATCAGTTGAAAAATAAGAAGTAGCTAGACAGCATGATCTAGAAAACTCGGTACAGTTTTCCCCTGCTGGCTCTGTGACTCCAGGCAACCTTCTGCTGCTTATTTGCTCCCTGTAAAAACAGGGAAAATGCCACCTAAGCAAGCCAGCAGAGATGACACAATTCTTAGCTGGGTAAATGCACTGAAGACAAAGTGCATGAAATGCTAAAGATGACTGCAATTGAAGCGTAGTGAACGTACCAAGGATTTGGGATTGCTCTTTGCTGGAGAGCCTGCATCCCTGGGCTCCACGATCTGCTCGACATTCCCATACGTTTACAACAACAACGTGGAATTGAAACATAGGCAGCATCCACCCAGTAAAGACCCCAAAGGGCAGCTAGGAGTATAACAGCTAGGATATACCACTGCTCAGGTCTCGGGGAAGTTACTCATGCTGTTTGCTTTGTGGTTTTGTTTTGTTTTTTTTTTAAAAGGTTCTAACGGGCACCTTCAGAAAGGCAGAACTTGACACAAGCAGCACCGTCACCCAGCACCCTGGACAAAATGCATGGAATAAAAACAGTTCTCACTGTTTCCCAAAACCTCAAAATACCGAAATACTTGCGGTGTCATAGCAACGAGCTTCACCCAAGCAAAATGAAAGTGTGCAATTTTAAACCATGTGATCCTATTTATAATTATCCTGGAGTTTCTTAACAGTGGTGCACCAGCATCAAGACTTGTTTAAGGATGTCTAGGTATCAGATCTACCTTTACTACATCATCCTTTTTGAATAAAACCTAATAATTCAGGAGCAGTTTTTGTGGCGACACAGCCTGCGTGTACATTCCCATGGAAGAAACCCTCTTCTAGCCAGAGCAGGGTCCCTTCCCCTTTCAGGGCTGCTCAAACACACGCAGGGACACACGGATGCTCCACTGACCAGGCGGAGGGGAGACTGGAAGAGGGAGAGACCTCTTGATGAATATGTTGTGGCACAAAAACAAACAAACAAAAGTTTCATAACATCTACACGTACACTTGTTACTTCTAACCTTTCTAGGCAAATAATGGCCATGAGCCAACACAAATGCCAGCGCTGCTGGCAAACACCCTTGCTGCTGCCCATTGATCCAAACCGAGATGCTGCCAGCACTGTTAGCCCACTGCTCAGGGAAGAGACTCATCTGGGAACAAGCACTTAGGGAGAGTAAAAATTAGAAAAGAAAACAGTAACAAAACGGGTTTGTGCTTCAGGGTGGGCTAGATTTGACTGGTG